GCTCTGGACTAGCGAAACTCCCTCCCAGACTCTTGATAAAACGGACGAACTCGCGGACCGCGATAATTGAGCAGCGGGGGATCGAGCGCCGCCAAAGCGACTTCCTCTCGGCGACGACGTAGACTCAACCCCGTCGAGGCACGCGCTGTTAAGTAGCGATCAATCGTTGAATCGTCGTCTTTAAGATCGCCAAAGCCGATGGAGGAACTAAGGTCCAATGTGGGGCCGGTCTTCCTCACTCCCTCTCCCGTGATCCTCGGTTAACTCGAATCCGGGGACGCGCGGACCGACGATGCGCGACGGCTACGCGCCAAATGTAACGCGAGCTCGAGCCGAGGTGTAGTAAGGCCGAAGAGAACGGCGACTCGCGGCAGCGACGTACACGAGAGTCATCTCGAGAGGGCGATGCGTTCGTCGTAGAAGGCGGTGGTGGCGGTGGTGGCGGCTACGGCGACGGCAGCAACAGCAACAGCAACAGCAGCAACAGCAGCAACAGCAGCAACAGCAACAGCAACAGCAACGGCAATAATACCAGCAACAGCAACAACATCATCAGCAAAAGCAGTGGCGGCGACGACGGCGGCGTCGTCGTCGGTGGTTGCGACGGTGGTGGTGGTAGTGGTGGTGCTCGTGCTGGCGGTGGCGGTGGTGGCGGCAGTGGCGGCAGTGGCGGCAGTGGCGGCAGTGGCGGCAGTGGCTACAGCGGCAGTAGTAGTGGTGGTAGTAGTAGTAGGAGTAGGAGTAGGAGTAGGAGTAGGAGTAGGAGTAGTAGTAGTAGTAGTAGTAGTAGTAGTAGTAGTATTAGTATGTAGTAGTATGTAGTAGTAGTAGTATGTAGTAGTAGTAGCGGTAGTAGTAGTAGTAAGTAGTAGTAGTAGTAGTAGTAGTAGTAGTAGTAGTAGTAGTAGTAGTAGTATGTAGTAGTATGGAGAGCCGCGAGGGGCGCCCCTGCGGAAGGAAGAGGACGGAAGAATAAGGGGAAGGGAGAGACTCGCGCCTTGGCTAGAAGATGGCTTCCAGCGGCGGTTGCGGCAGCAACGGCAGCGACGCGGTGGTGATCGTGGAGCCGAGTCCGAGTCCGAGTCCCAGCCAGAGTCCGAGCCTCGGCTTCAGGCTCGGCGAGAGCGACGAGGGTGGCTACGCCGGGCACGCCGGCGACGTGCCCCTCTGGAAGCGCGAGCTCATACAGCGACGCAGGCAGCTGGGCAAGACGGTGATTAGGGCGGACAGCGCCGCTTCCACTTCCACCGCGACGGCGCTCGCCGGGGCCCGTGGTGGGGCCGCCGCCGCCGTCGTCGACTCGTCGCGGACGCGCTCGACGCAACCGCGGCCGCGCGGCATAACGCCGTCGACTCCCGGCGAGGATGCGACGGCTGCTGCCGGGGTGAGCGACAGCGGTGCCAGCTGTGTCGCGGCGAGCCCGGACATGCGCCTCGAGGCGACCGTTGATGCCGGGGAGGGCCCGGTTCCTATCTCGATTCAGATGCCGATCGTAAGCCCGGGTCCGGAGTCCCAATCGGCGGTGGAGCTGCTTGGCAACGGGAGAATGAGTCGAATGAGGGGTGGACAACCGCCGGCCAAGGGCCTCCTCGATATCGTGAAACTGGTGGAGATGCGCGGCAAACGGACCGAGGAGTGCGAGAGCGACAGCTCGGAGGAGCTACAGTACGGGCCCGGGATCGTGCACAAGCTAAGGAGCAAGTACCTCAATATGACCCTCAGGGAGATGAATAAGAACGGGTCGTCGGGACACGGGTTCAGGAGGGCCACGAGCCTCGAGGATCTGCTCGACCGTAACGAGGAGTCGGGGGAGAAAACGGGGAGACGCTACGCCAAGAAGAGCCCGACGGGGGCGGCGGCCAAGGTCGAGAGGTACAGGAACGCAGCCAGAGGGAACGAGTCCATGAAGCGAGCCAGGAGCGTAGAGACCCTGATGAGGTACAATTCCGCCCTGGAGGAGGCCTCCCAGGATCATGGGAGCCGCTTCTCCGCGAATGTCTTCAGGCAGGACAGCGATCACATTATCCTAGTCGACAAGAGCAGCACGAGGATTGAGAATCGGTTTTTCGACAAGGACAGGCTAACTAAGCCCCTCAATAAGCCCAAGAGAATAAGGCCTGTGTTGGCAGAAACTGAGAGACCACCACCGGATCTAGTCAAAACGACGATGAGAATCTTTGAGAGCTCCTCGATCAAGAAGCTTAAGCCCAAGGGAGACGTCGCCGTGAAAGTGGCTACGTTTAAGACTATTAACGACACTTTTAAGGCCCAGAACCAAAAGAAAATTATTCCAAAGCCACCTATACAGCCAAAGCCATTTGTCAATGGCAATTCCAAAATCTCGCCTTCTCCCAGAAAGATCATAATCTCAAGGAAGCCTACCGCCGAATTAATCGAGATGCACAATAGTCAGGAGTCTCGTCGTAACGAAGGTGTCATTACAGAATCCATAGTACAATCCGTCTCGTCTGTGGTCAGCAAGTTTCAGCAAATTGAAAAGTCATACTCGCCGTCTTCGTCGCCGGAGCCAACGTTTAATAAAATTAAATTCTCACCAGTTGCGAGCCCCGAGCCCTCGGCTGTTAAACTAAAAGTGTCTTCTTTAGATGTAAAGTCGCCTATGATGACACCAGTTCCATCACCAAGGACCTCGCCGCCAAAGGCCCAGTCTCCTTTGTCTCCAAGGTCAGAGACTATTAAGCAGCCTTCTATGCTCGTTCAAAAGCCAATTATGAATTCTACTCCCCTGTCGAATAAATTTGACCAGTCTGCCTTTGGTATGCCTACGGAGATACCTAAGGTTGATTTCGAGCAGGATAAAGACGAGCTTAACGACGAACAAACAAAGGACACGTTGGAGGTGAACAGCCAAATTACGGACACGGTAAATGACAGTTCCAAATTAAGCGACACATTGTCATCTTCGGGATCATCTACTGTGCTAGTTGACAATTTTGACGAGAGTATAGAAACGGTGGACAATCCTAGAACGGTTTCCAAATCCGCTTTGGATAATATTGGTAAGGCTGGAATGACGGTTCAGTTCAGGTTCAACGATCATCCGTCTATCAAGAGTTATTTGCCTCGGTCCGCATCTAATCCTGAGCAAATTAGAGATAAATCCGTAGAAAGTGAAATTATGCTGACAAAATTAACAGAAGTCAGGGGTAAATCCTATTCGTTCGAGGCTGAAAGCGTACCCGCCATCTCCGACATTATACCAATTAACAATGAATCGCCTAATAATTTACACGAGCGTTTCGTGACTGAGCACACCGAAGAGACCATCCATAGAGACGATCATGCCTCAGTTATTGAAAATAAGCAAACCGGTGCTATTTCAAATTTAAGCCTTATCAAATCGACGATGACAACTAGTTTTCCACAAGGTAACGAAACGAAAACAATAAGAAGTCAAAAATCTGACTCAAATTCACCTCCACAAAAACAAATAGGAATTATTCGACCTTTAGTCTCTACCAAAACTCAGCTACCCCAGCAGAATCTTAGCAACAGAGAAATTGAAAAGAATCTGATTAACAGAGTTAAGAGTATCGAGCAGCCGTCAAAGGTAGTGGTGAGTTTGAAAAGTGCCGAGGAAATACAGCCGGTGAAGAAGCACAATTCCAGCGGCGGTCTTTGGGATTCCAAGCCATGGAACCAGCAAAACAACACGATGGTCTTCAATTTCAGCAACAGAAAAGATGTTCCAGATTACATAGAGAACGATGGTTTAATAATCAAGAGGAAGCGAGAGAAGCCAAGGGTAGGATAAATTTTATTACAAATTCTATTCCCTTCCCATTATAATTCAAAGAATATTTTATTCCACATACACAGCTATCACCTAATTACAGACATACATAAAATTGTAAAGCAACACCACATTTGGATAAAACAAACACTACACACCACAATTTTCGCCAATTAAAATCATTTTAAATATAGGTTAAAATAAGACATTCAACGTTCACCGTTAATTGCGAAAAATTTCTTACAATCTTTCTCGGTAATGACTGAAATACCTATTTACATAAATTATAATACATAGTTTTTTTTTTTATAATAAGTAAAGGAAGTGCAGTCATCATATTATAGAAATCTTTTTTTCCTTCTATTTTGTTCCATATCATTCGTTGTTTTTCTTTATATTGTTTGTACCTTTGTTTCGTTAAAAGACAACCAAATATAATTAAACCATAATAATAGTAATGGAAGGTGTTAGTTGGAAAAAAAAATAGAAGAAAGAAAAACAGATATATAGAAAAAGAAAAATGAGAATAAAAAAAGGACAAAAATGTCGCCTCCGCGTCGCTCC